TTTTTTTAATTCTCTCAATAAAAAATTTATAGTTGTTTTCATTTTGTAGTAAATTTGCCATTTCCAATTTATTCAAGTCCAATACTTTCTCAGGCATAAGTTTGCCAGAACTCGATTTTATTTTATTAATATCAAACTGGAATGGAAAATAGAATATATGTAAATATACGTAATATGCATATACATATGTAAAAGTTTTACAGATGTACAGTTGTGTCTCGAATTACATCGAGTATCCGTTTCATGTGGAGGTTTTCTTTTACGCGATTGAGAATTGTGTAAATCAAAATCTGCCAGTAGAAAAAAAATACACAAGAGAAAAGTCCGTATGTTATAAAAGTACTTATTTAACATAATTGCAGAAAAAAAGTAATATTAATGAAAGTAGAGAAAATTAAATTTAAATTTTATGCGATGTCACGTCAGCTTTTTCTTTTCAATTGATTTCAATTGCAAAGTTACTATCACGTAGAAATATTTGAAATCTGTCAGCATATCTCTGTTAAAGATATATTCTCGGACCGCGTGAAGAAAACTCGACGTACAAAAGTACCAGGTCGTAATTACCTGTTTAATTAATGCTTGATAACTGTAAAGATGTTGGTTTTCTCGTTCTTTGTGGAAACCACCATCAGCCCCTATCACGTAATTCAATAACGCTAGTGGAAAAATACCCTGTTTCCTAAATGACTCGATTTTGATGTCACCCTGTCTCTTGGACAACTTGGATCCGCGTTTAATATTAAAAGGTAAGTGTCCATATATGGGAGAATTCCGGCCAAGCGCTCTGCACGATAGACAAGATTTCTAGTCTAATTTTGTAAGAATTTAATTGCCCTCTCTCTCTCTCTCTCTCTCTCTCAAGTAAAATAGCTTACTTGTAAAGCATAATATGCTTAGGTGTAGAAACTTGCCATTCAACGCCCCGTAAGATATGAGATATTTCCATAAAATGGTCATCGACTACATCTGCAAAATGGTAAGTGGGATAGCCATCTGATTTTATGATAACTGGATCTCCCTCGGACTTGGTAAGATCATGCACCACGTCGCCGTAAACTATGTCGTGAAAGGCCGCCGGTGTGGACGCCAACTGATTGCGAGATATGCAACAATTATATTGCGAGATATGCAACATTTATAAGTTTAGAAGAGACCTTAAATACCTTAAATCTAATACAATAAGTGATATTTTTCCAGAGCATTTCCTTTACTTGATCCTTGGTAAAATGTCGACACCTATTGTCATATTTAGGTACTTGTCCACACTTTATAGCCTCTCTCCTCAACAATTCCAGTCTTTTCTCCGTACAAAAGCAGTAATAAGCGGATTGATTGTCCAAGAGTTTAAGCGCCTGCTCTCTAGAAATAACGAGTAAGGCAACTTGGCATTGAAATTATTATAGCAGGAGCTGCCTTGCGACGATACACACTCTCTTATCGTCCTATGTACATAAGATTGGAATGATTACGAGATGGCAAGTTTACTTGTACAATTCGAGCCTTGACAACTGCACGTAAGAGCCAACGGGGCCACCTCTGGTAGGATCTTCGTCGGGTATAATCCCTGCCCATAGCAAATCATCCTGGAGTCTCTCTATTGCCCCGGGAACCGTTCTTGTCCGATCGGTGTCCTCGATCCTCAAAATAAACGTGCCGTTGTTGCTACGTGCGAACAAATAGTTGTACAGCAT